GGATATTCGGGTCGCGGCGATATGGCTACGTAATGGAGCCTGGGAACTGTGGAATGAAGACCACAAAGAGCTGCGAAAGCATTTCGCAGCGGCGTTGGACGATGACGTCTCAGAACTGTGGCCGAAGGATGACGGATTGACACCAGAGCGGTGGGGTCTGTGGGAGAAGAGGCTGTGGGATCTGAGCATGGATGAGGATAGGTTGGACGAAGAGACTAGGGCTGTGGTCAAGGAGGCGTATGAAGTGGTTGAAGGGATTTTAGATTCTGGAGAGTGATGTCGAGTTCCTAGAACCTGCCCTACCCTGAGAGATCAACGATGGGCTCGTCAGAAAATATCGACAACTCGTTCTTCGAAATGCGCATCGCCTAGATCTAGTTGCGAACGGACGTTGCATAGTCACATCTTCGTCTTTTAAGTGCCGTTTACTGGTGTTAGGAGGAAAGAGCAGCATGTAACAGCTTTTAACATGCTGCGCACGTCAGCGGCTGCCTAAGTTGCGTAACTTTGCGGGGTTGTTTCTGCAAGGAAGCAGCCATATCGCAAATAACTTTGAGAACAACTGCGCAGGATGCAGCGATGAAGTGTTTCTTGAAGATGTATTTGGACAAGCTGGAAGATTTTCGAGGAACTTGACGTCGCAATTTACGGGGTGAGGGGCAATCCGCCGTCATGCCTAATTAGCTCACCGACGGCCGCGCTTTTGGCGCACGCGCATCTGCTAAAATTATCAACTTCGCCCTCGACCAAGTTCTCACACTCAGGCACCGAATGCTCACCGACACGAGCAATATAATATTGGAAAGGATCGCGCAATAGGGGTGAACGTCAGCAGTTAGGAAGTGTGCACTTCAGAATTCGCGATGACCAGCTAGGTACGTACCTACCCGATCAAGTAAACTCCGATTTCTCGCAGCGAAGTACTACACTACAGGGTGTACACGCTCTCTCAGTAAAGCCATTCTTTCTTGCTACCGCCTGGACACCCTGGAGTACCATAGACCCCGCCAATAATCCACAAGTTTATATCAACGACCGCCCATACACCCAAACCACCCAGAGTAGCAGTCTTGAACACAGCCAGGATCCAGTGACGCGCATACCATTGGTCTATACCAAGCACACCGAGCCAGAACGCTAGCAGCGTTGCTATACGTTCCTGCTTATAGCATCGCTCCGAGTTTGGGTGATCGTCCCATCCGCCAAAGCTCCTTCTATCGATAGATCGATCGATTGCTTGTACTGTTGCATGTTAACACACTAGAACACCCTCTTATCATACTGTGAGGGATGCTTCCTACCACCGGCTGTGAAGAGGACTATTACTGCAATAGCTCCGAGCATGAAGTTGTACAAGTAAAATTCCAATCGCCATCGCGAATAGAGATCGCGCACGTGGTTTTTCAATGCTGTGGAAAAGACCGGCATTAAGGGTGGGAGATGACCGTCGCTCTTCAACGAATTCTTCAGTGTAAGCGAAGCTCAGTATGTAGCTTCCCGAGGTTAACAAAGGCTGTATCGCGGTACCAGAAAGTCGAGCTGATGCTCGCGAGCTTTATCGTGTCATGCTGTATTGCGCTCCGATCAATCAGAGATCATGCGGGCTGCGCCTCAATAGGATTTCCGGTGAGGCGCAGCCACATTCGTTAGCTTGGAATTGTTGCATGATCATCTCAACCACTTCTAACCTAGTTGAGGCTGCCTCAGGGGCTGTGTGAGCAACTGAAACGCTTGTACCTCCACGACATTATGAGGGCTGCGCTCGACGAAATCTTTTCTTCTTGACCATCTATAGCTTACACATAAGCACTTGTACCATAATGATTGTCGATTCCCTTCCATTCTTTGTTGTAATCTTGTTTTATTCCATTGTAACTGTCATCCAGTTCTTCAAGCCGGACTATGAGACAGCCTTCTTGTATAACTATACCAGACCGATTATCGGGTTGATTCTCTGCGAGAAGTGTACGGCCCTGAGATCATGGCCGAAAGGATCAAGGATGCGACATTTCGATGATCTGGCAGATTTGGAAGAGGAAGGTACTAAAGGCTGCTGGCTTTGCCGTGCAATATGCATGGAATTTTCACAGTCTCAAGCCGATCGTGAAAACCCTCCGGCGCTTGATCGGCCTGAGCAGCTTCCTTCACACTCCCTCTTGTTATGGTTTGCTGAGCGGACAGAGACTGGAGACGGATTCCTGGATCATCTAAGAGGCAAGAGTACGGCAAGCACATCAAGGGCATCAGCATTTAACCAGCGCTAATCTTTCACATCAGGCTATATCGCATACATTTACGGATCGCATGCTCGTGAGATCGTCCCGGATCCGTCCTCGGAATCTAGTTTCGGCTTGGTCAAAGAGTGGCTCGGAAAGTGCGATATGAACCACAGCTGTTATCAAGGCGACCAGGCAATGCTACCAACTCGGGTGATCGACGTGAGTATAGAGCAGCCATATCTGTACATCTCACATGGTCACCATGCTCCTTACATGACGCTGAGTCACTGCTGGGGAGGCAAACAGCCACTAACCACAACGACGGACACACTCGAGCAGAGATGTATAGGTATACCAATGGCATCTCTTCCTGATCTCTACCGGGATGCAGTCACCGTAACTCGGAAGTTAGGGATACAGTATCTCTGGATAGACAGCCTTTGCATACTTCAAGACTCAAAAGATGACTGGGCAAAAGAAGCAGCCGTCATGGGCAACGTCTACCGACTATCATACCTTACACTATATGCCCTTAGTTCTCCAGACTGCAGTCATGGAATGCTAGTCCGTCGACAAAGCCTTACATCAGCAGCGACTCAACTGGCGAACAACATCCACAGCCTAGAGAAAACAAGAGCGCACGTTTTCAAGACCGCACCGCTCTGTCGAAGGGCATGGGCACTGCAAGAACGACTCTTGTCCCCCAGGCTCTTGTTCTACAGCGACGGGGAGATGTTTTGGGAATGTCTTGCCCACTCAGCTAGGGAAGGAAATCATCGTATCGTCCCGCACAAACCAACTCCATATCGATACGAAAGTTACGAATGCCCTCAAGTGAAGATCCAACTCGTTCTGCCACTCGACGACAATCCCTCGTTCCCAGTCTCTTTACCCTCAGACTGGCAAATAATAGTCTCGGAGTATTCCCGTTGTCGCTTGACCTACCGTTCAGACAAACTACCTGCTTTGTCGGGACTTGCGAGCATGTACCGAAGAAACACGGGCTATACTTACGTTGCAGGCATGTGGATTGAGAACTTGGCAAGTGAGCTGCTCTGGTACTGCCCTGTCGAACAAGACTACCTGCACGAGGATACGGAAATCACCAATGATCCATGCATGGAACCGTCCTGGTCTTGGATCTCTACAGATCTTGCTGTTCGGTTCAAAGCGCTAGGCAATATTACTGGAACATGGTCAACAGACTTTGAACTTATCCAAACAATCTTTCCCGATCCAGCTACGAGAGACAACACCCCTACCATGTTGGTAGTCAAAGCTTACTTTTACCGGATATCAATACACTCCCAGCCCGCCTCTAGGAACTGTATCGTTCTGGATGGTGCTGGTCGCGAGAGACTCGGCAGAGGGGTTCTGGATGCGACAGAAGGGAATCACGACGGTATGACATCCTGCGCGGGGGTGGTCATCAGAAGGAAGCTGCAGATAGGTCGTGGGACAGAGTTCTTCGATCGGGGCCTATACATCACATATCTCCTCATCGTCGTACCGGCCCCACAAGTCGCAGGAGAGGAACGTTGGAGAAGGATCGGGCTTGGTTGGACTACTCGACACTTGACATCGGCACCGGAGAAATCGCTGGTTCGGTTGGTGTGAAACGAGAGCAATACTTGTCTTTCGAGGCTTGGTAGTGTCGCGACGATAGCCTTGACGCTCGAGAATTACACAGTAGCTACGGTATCGGCCGCAGACAGCCGGTTCGCCTGCGGGCGGCGGTTGCCTTCCCACGTGGCGCCCCGCACGAGCCAACGACGCGCCCCCGAAAACAACAAACCTCTATCCCCTTCGCTTTCGCTTTCACTCAACGCGACGTACTCACGGACTTCACTGCATCTATCTTTGTTTCAGAAAATCTGTCAGCATGCCTACCGATGCTTCATATGCCGCTCAATCTGCATTATCTTGATGTGTATCGCCTGTGTGAGGTTCGCCGACGGCGCGCTCTCCAGCACGGTCCACGGCAAGATCACAACGTTTGTTTCAAACCCCACGTCTTGGCTGAAAGACGGCAAATGGTAGGAATACCTTCAAGACGATACGAGCTTGAGATGGCGTGTGCATACTGGTATTATTACAGTTCTCTCATCGACATATTACACGAGAGGTTTCGAAGCGTCGTTTCTCCTTGGGGCCACATGGGGCCAAAATGCTACCCACGTTATTGCGAGAAGATGCAATCCGAGGTCCTTGGTCCATTTTCCGGTCGTTCGATCACTGGCGCCAACCCTGCTTTCAACGGCTGATTTCATCGCCGAAGAGACTGAGTTCTAGATGTAGTCTCATCGGAGGATCGTTAACGATGAGCCCTCACACCCCGTGGCTGTGGTAGGCTGAGCAAGGCAACCACCTGCGGCTCTGCGGCACGGGTCATGCAGCCACCAAAGATCCAAAACTCACAAGCCTCATGGTTGCGAATCCATCTTGTCCTCGAGTCATTCGTGGATGTTTGAGAGGCGATTACACCTGCCCATCATGGTAATATCTCTCCACGGATGGACACAGCGCGCAGCCCATGCGCTTCTGGTATCATGCCACTGCAGCGACTGAGGCTGACATCGCAGTACCCCAAAGGTTTCAGCGGGATGGGTAGGCGTGGTGGTCACAGGCAGTGTACTTGGCTCTGCGAGGCTGAGGATATATACTGGCATGGACTCAGCTCCTGCTGGCATCAAACGACCCATCCATCTCATCCACTTCATCTATTCATTCTTGCATTTTCCCATCGATCACGCCACCCAGTGTCTTCGCAGAGCCATCATCATGACATTCGCTACTGAAGATCTTAGCATCCAGCCGGGCGTTCTGCGGACACCCAAGTCTGGCTATAATGTTGCTCAGAAGCCCTGCGCTACGTTTCTACCCACACCGATCTCAGAGAAGAGTAGCCGTGGTGTGCTATCCGTACTAGACTCTAACAAGATCTCTTGGATGTCACCAGCGTCGACAGTATCGACTACGTCGTCTCCGGCAGGGTTCAACGACATGTGGGATTTACCCGAGACGCCCACTAAGCGGACGACCAGCGCTTCTCCACGAAGTATCCTGACGCCTTTCACGCCTCCAACACCCCCTGATTCTTCTAAAAAGCTGCTTTTCACCCCAATCTCCAAGCCTATTTTCGGCGTTGGAGTGACTCCCGCGATTCCCAAGCCCTTTTTCCAGGAAAAGGAGACAGCGGCACAGGATGACCCTTTCCAACCGAAGTTGTTCCGAGGCGTCACGTTGGTGCTTGAAGAGAGTACGTCGAGACATCTTGAAGCTAATAGCGATCACATCTAACTTGCACATCACAGTCTCCAAGGCAAGCGTCGCAGTTGCTACCGTCAAATACAGCAGCAACCCCACGTTCGTGTTTACGCAGAATACCAGTGTCAGTTCACGAACACGTTCCAAGACAGCCTCCACCACACCAATCGCTTCAGCTATACATACCGCTATCCACAAAGAGACAAGCAGCATTGGATCGCCCCGAGGCCATATTCATCCACCTGTGAAGAGCAAATTCGCCAAGCTGCTGGAACAGCTCATACCACACGATCTCCATTCGAGGCTCGCCAGCGCTCCGGGCTGCTGCGCCGCATCCCTCGTAAAGAGCCCCTCTCAACGATGCAGTTACTCGGCAAAGCCTCAGGAATCGCGTCGCGATGTTGTTAGCGCTGTTAAGGATATAGCGAAGTTCAAGAGACAAGAAGACTACCGCCGTATGATACGCCGTGTCAAGACGATCGTGCAGTCAGTCATGTGCAACAAGCATCAGGGCACGGCGTTGAACGAAATTGAAGGTGGATCCAGGATATCGCAACTACGCAACAAGCTTGAAGACAGGACACTCATGACGAACCAGGACTACTCGACTCTCACGCAATGGGTTGACACAATCAGCGACCTTGAAGCGTCTACAAACCGTGCTGCTGGACCTACGACCATTGCAATATCATCCAAGCCAGCTATACAAGTCAAGCGGGTATCAAAGCCCAAGTTCAAGGTTTCAACCACTGAGACGACTGTTCGCTTCTCCTTCTCATGCTCATCGGGTTTCATACCTTATCAACCAAAGAAAGTCCGGAAGCTCTCCGTGTTCTCTGCACTTTACGACACGGCCACCTCTCCGTTGGGTCCCAAAGACATGGAGTCGGGCTTTGTGTACCTATTCTGGGACAAGGCGTATTTCGGTGTAGTGAAGATTGGGTACACCAATGATCTAGCGACGCGGCTAAAGGCCTGGAATAGAGACTGCAAGCGACAACATGATTATCACTCCAGCGCAGAAATCCAGGTTGAGATGCCACATATGCAGCGCGTCGAGCAGCTCATACACACTGAGCTGAAGGAGTGTAGACTGCGAAGACGGTGTGAAGGCTGCGGTAGGCTGCACAGAGAATGGTTTGAAGCCAGTCAAGCGCATGTAGTCAAGGTCATGAAGAAGTGGCGGGAGTGGATTCAGCAACATCCCTACGTGAAAGACGAAGAGTCGGGTGAGTGGGTACTCAAGCCTGGGATGCTTGCTTCTCTTGAGCAGATGTGTGAGCCACTGCCGCAAGACGTGGTCACTCAGAAGTCTCAAAGGAAGAGTGGGGGTATGCAACGCGGCTCACAGAAGAGGAAGAGCCCTCGCCGAACGATGTAAGAGCAATTCTTGGCGGTGGCTGGTCACTGCAAAATGAGGTGAAGGCGGGAAAAGCAGCGTCACCGCGGGTTCGCTCTCACCTTGAGCACGTTGGCGAAACCGGAGCCCCGCTAGTGTAGTATATAGGATCGATCTGCAATTCCAACTCTCCTTCCGTTTTCTTCTCACACGTCGCTTGATATCATTGTCACCACTTCGCCCGTCACATCAACATGGTCGCACACAGTATCTTCGAAGCAGCAAAGCTCGTCCGAGCTCGCCACGCGCCCGCGACCGCGGCCTCGCAAGGTGAGGCCTCCGGTCACATCGACACCGGAAGAGTCACCAAGACCATCGTGCGAAACCGCGGTCGTGTCGCCGGCAATTACGAGAAGACACGAAGCAGCTACGGCAGTTTCCAGCCAAACAGCATCGACTGGGCAATCGAAGCCGATTGGCTGAAGCCATTCCTTGGTACCTCGCCGCCGCCCAAGGACCCGATGATGCTAAGCTCGACCTTGAAGCCTGCCGCCAAGATCGTCTACATCCTGAAGCACGAGCTCACTGATGATGACGCCATCGCTTTGCTCGCTGGCTGCGGGATCAGCGATAAGTCGTCCGATGAGTTTGCTCGCGCTAGACAGCGGACGAGGGACTATCAGTCGGAGTTCCAGGCCGAGGTCATGAGCGACTTCATCTATCCTCGGGTAGCCATGATCATATGCGGATGGAAGGAGCAGGCTGCGAATGCCGACAAGGCTGTCGAAGACCTTACCCCGGTTGAGCTCGAAGCTCTCTGGCAGGGCGACTTTGACAAGGACCCGGAACGTATGGTGGCCGCGATGTGGGGAGATGTCGGCAAGTCGATCCCATGGGACAAGATTTACAATCTCGGCATCGGTAACGCAGAGGTGAAGGCCAAGCTACAGGCTGCGAGAGACATGTTCCGCGCCAAGTATGTCTTCGCTTGCGAGCAGACGCTCAAGATGCGTTACTGTGACCCCGCAGCGCTTGAAGACGACGACGAGGCGCTTTCCTGGATGACTCCGGCTGTAAGTTCCAAACATATCACTACTACTATGAATTCAGTATACTGACACCAACAGCAACGTTGCTATGCCAAATGGCGCGGCTTCCGCCACGACGAGCGCTTCACCGATACCACCGTGGGCTACGCGAGCCTTCCGATACACGGTGGACCTCCGAATGATCGGAGGAAGCAGTCAAGTGCTATTGCAGTCCCGAAAATGAATGAGCACGACGCGGAGTTCATGGCCGCACTCTTAAACAGCGATTATGAAGGGGAAGGCGAGGACGACGACGAGGAAGTTGACATTTTTGCCGATTGAATATACCCTTGGCGAGATGTTAGTACTACATTTGGGGACTACGGCGGTGTTATGGAGAACAACTAGATAGCTGTTTCCTGGTTATGGCAAATACGGAAGAGCTGTGGGTGCACTTGCCCCCGCTGCCGAATGTACTTCCTCCCAGTCAATGACCGATCTTGCCATGTTGATGTTGAGTGTAACCTCCTTCCCTTACGCCACCTTCTACGTCGCACCATCGACACGTTCTGGCTGTTGTCAACCAAAATACATCGTACCAAGAGACGACGTGGATATTGCAGCCCATCGTTACCTCACCACACACACACATACTATTCTACCGCCTCCGTCAAACATTACACAGGTGTCTTACTTCGGGTACGTACCATCGAAGGTACCTGTCCCAGTGTCCCTTCTTGCTAACATCTCTGGTCTAGAGACACAACGGCGACCGCTCTGCAAGGTTGAGTTGCGCCATGACATGAGCATCGGGGATTTTAAGCTTGCGATAGCGCAATGGAATTTCTCGAAGTCGTAGGAAGACCAAGAGGCTAACGTTGTCGCCATCGTCGCCAAATTGATCTTCACCAAAGGTCGATTTCACAAGGAACAAGAGCGGTCGCAAGACCAATGCAGATACATCACGTCGCACATGATGTTCCACCGTCTTCTACAAACCATATCTTTCTATGGGTAACTATTAGACATTGTGGCTTCATCAATGTTTTCCTGTATTGACGTTCCTAACTTAGATACACAACTGCCACCCGATCGGCAAACAAGCTGCAGATCTCGGCAGAACGAGGCGAGCCGGTGCCTCCATTGCCATCGTGGCTGGGAATTCCCTTCCTCGACCCCGTACAGGGCCTTGACCCTGGCTATATTCTACAAGCCAACGGGGCAAAGAACGAGCCCACTACAGACCTGATCCGGCTGGGAGATCGTATAACCGATCAAGCGGGAAAAGGCACCGAGTACGGCATCCTCTCCACGCTTCGAGACCCCCAGGCGGCTACCTTGTCTTCCGTACATTAATGATAACGACAGAACGCGTATCGTATGCGCCAGACGTCAATTAACCTACGGTCTTCCGCCTTCACCCTAGTGATACTATCACCGACCAGAGGGGAGTAGAATCCGAGTTTGGAACATTGGGCGTCATTATGATCGATCCAACTGAATTTGGCGACCAGCCGTACGGCATAACGGCCGGTCATGTCCTGGCAAGGGTTGACGACCTCTTCGTCACCCATCGAGTGACTGGAGAGCAGATCGAAGGGTCGCGAGTGGCCTTAAAAAATCCCGATCAAAATGATCCCCTGTCGGCAGAAGTCGGCATAATGAAACTGAATATGAAGGATGCCGACAGAATGTGTTCGGTTATGCATCGAACAACGATGCATCACTACCAAACCTTCATCGACACAGACAATCTCGAGGAGCCTCTCTTCAACTTCAACAACACACGATATAAGGCAATAACAGATGTCATACACCGTGAACAAAGCATCTTTGTACACAAAGATGGTGCTTCCACCGGGCTTACCATGGGTCGCCTAACGAAACTGGAGTGGAAACTCCCTTGAGATACAAACTCACGCACCATCAAAGACTACGACATGGACGTATGCTTTAAACCAGTACTCGGTAACACCCCTCTTTGAGGAATACTACAAGATGTCGAGGCCAAGATCCATCAGTGTACGGCTATTGTAACCTTTCCGCATCCATATGCGGTATGGGTGGACACTCCGTGGCTTCATTGTATACGCCAAAAGGTTCTGAAAGACGGAGGCAATTGCACCTGGTCTAGTCTCCACGGCTCATCGTTGCCGCATTCTACTAACGGTGTCCCTCCAGCTCTAAACACTACCGAGCAACTCCGATATCCAATATCCAAAGACCTTGCGCACACCACACAGACATGTCACCTCACACCGACACTAAGTGCCGACACGCGGGATCTACCATGCGCGCGAACTTCAAGACTCCGTTCTACCCTTTTTCGAACAGCCTTCAAAGTACTGCTGCAAGCCCTTTATAAACACAATGACCTCTGAATCTCCCACCAAGCGCAATGCCGCACCAAGATCACCGCTCGCAAGCCCCAACAAACGGGAGAAAGAACAAGGCTTGTTGACACCGGACGATTCCCCGGTTGACGATGTTTTCGGCGCATTGGCTTGGGACGACAAGACAAAGCCAGTTGTGCTGCGCCATAACACGAGTATCGGGGACTGCAAACTTGCTGTACTCGATGGACAAGTCCATCAAAATTCCCTTGGGAATCCATCTTGGGAAACCCCCAGAGTCGCACTCTGTCGTTGGATAGTTACTTAGTCGAAGCGCATCTGCTTGGGCTGCAACTTGAGTTTGCAGACGAAAACAGTGGGTATGGAAAGAGGACGTTTGCGCACTTCAGGTAGCTAGATAGTGACCGAGAGAATCGTTTGGATGAATTGTATCCGTTAACTACGCAGATATTGCGCCAATGCGTGACATATCATCAGTCATGTAGTTGTTAGAGTTTCTGATGATCACGACTTTCTCGCTCCGCGGATGCGATGTGGTCGCCAGAATGCATCGTGATCGCGATTTCTTCAGGCAGCTGATCCGATGTAGTCGTCCTGCCATTTCCCTGCTTCACTCTGGTGTATAACCGTCCAGAGAACTTTTTTCGACCATCACTATTTCGTGGAGCCACTCCGGCAGCACCGGAATGTTATCGTCATTCGTGTAGTGCGCCATATATATGTACTTCGTCCCGAAGGCAGTGCCCATACCTGGGAATCCCAGCGCGGCAATGACAATTTGAATTGCCGTCAACAGGGCGCAATGTAAGCGCCATTTCCGACTGGTCTCGTTGGCCCAAGGTCCGGTGCTGATGTCATAGAAGTATGCTTCGGCACGGTCGAAGTGCTCGGCGGGCAGCTCCCTCCAGTCTTTGAACTTCCAGATGGCGCAGAGTTCTTTGATCTGGGCGTATGATGGTGATTTAGGCGTCGGACGCGGTGGTGGTGGGTCGCGAATTCGGCGCCCGCGAGTACCGTCCGCTCGGATGTGGTGTGTTGGCCGAGGAGGTGTGACGCCGGTGCTGGTTTGCGTTGGAGTCGACATGGTGGTTCTTTGTGAAAGCCACACAAGAAAAGGCGGATGTTCGGTTTTGGTTGGTAAGTTTATTTGAAGTGCTGTTGTGATCCGCAAATTTCAGTATGGCATGGGGGTCGCTATATATACACGAAGATCTGCTGGGTAGAAGGTCTCCGTGGTTGGGTATGATTCTAGCGCGCCACGCTACCCTGGTTTTGTTCTGACGCATAGGGCAAACGAGCCAGTCACAACCTTTGCGACCCCAACAAGATCTATACATGAAGGAACTCGCAAATCAAAGTCGCCGAGAAAAGGACAAGCACGAGGGGCGGCGCAGTCTATCGCACCTAGATTTGCGCACACGGCTTGCGTTGCATGTGAGAGCAACGCGCCGGCGTTTGTTGGTCGATGCGGCAGTGCCCGCGGCCATGGTGGTGGTGAGGAGACAGTCTGGTAGAGAGCGTCTGGACATGCCGCTTTATTATTCACGGACGAGATATCACGTGTCCGGCTATTCCCGTCCGGGGCGTGGTAGCGTCTACCTAGTGCCAGGTAACCCGGGGTAATCGCGGCACGCCATCTAACCAAGCCTCGAGCCAACAGGGCTACCACGCATCACGACACCGCCCAAGTAATGAAACCTTCGATACACTCAGTAGCCTATCTGCTGCACCCTTGCATCGCCCGTCCATCGCTCTCCACAATCGTGCGTCATCGTTGCGCCAAAGTCGTAGCACAAACACCATCCCGTACACCATGGTCGAAAACATGAACAGCGACTTTCACGTTGCCATCGTCGGTATGCATGTCTGCACACCAGCCCATCATCTATCCCATATCACTAACAGGCCATCCAGGCGCGGGCATTGGTGGCCTCGCCCTGGCCATGGCGCTGCACAAGAAATGTGTTCCCTTCACCTTGTATGAGGACGCCAAGGAATTTTCAGCTGTGGGGTATGTTCTCATCACCATGGCCCTCACTTAGGCTTCCTTTGCTTACATGGTCAAAGGGCTGGTATCGGCTTTGCGCCAAACGGGATGCGAGCCATGGATCTGATTGAGCCTGGATTCCGTCCCTTGTATGAGAGGATTTGCGTAGGGAACAAGGGTGAGGACAAACAAGACATTTTTTTTGAGGGCATGCTTCTTAGTGAGGGTTTGGGTATGGAACTTTCCTTTGCCACATCCGTTCTCGCTGTGCGTTTTGTTAACCTGCTGTTGCAGGCGAAGACCAAGCGTGGTACGGCAAGTCGGCGTGGGGCCATCCTGATTTCGAGCGCAAGTCTGTATGTGCTCTAACTCATCGCCATGAACACGAGTATTGCTGATGGGCACTAGGCGCATCGCAAGACGCTGCTTGACATCATGACCAGCTTCGTTCCACGACAAAATGTCAAGTTTAACAAGCGCCTCGTCAATATCGAAGCGCTGCCAACCAAACTTGTCCTTACTTTTGCCGATGGAGAAGTCGCAGAAGCGAGCATTCTTGCTGGCGCTGACGGCATCAAGAGCACAGTCCGCGAGCATGTCCTGAAGCTGCAATTTCCTGAGCAAGTAGCGCCAGTCTACGCTGATGCGTATTGCTACCGTGCTGTCATTCCAATGGCTGATGCCGAAGCTATCCTGGGAGATTTGACCGACGTAGCCAAATTTTACTTTGGTCATAAGCGCAGCGCAGTAACGTATCGTATATCAGAGGGAAAGGTAAGTCAGTACCCATATCCAAGGCCAAATAAACGTCGCCGTACTTATCGCTATTCCTTGCAGGAGTTCAACTTCCTTTTGTGTGTCACAGATGAGCAAGGCTGGGACCAGGACAAAGCTGTGACAGAGAAAGTCTCACATGAAGCCATGATGGCCGATTTCGAAGGATCAGGCGTCGATGACCGCTTCCGCCAACTTTTGGCCATGGCAAGCCCAATCCGATGGGGCTTCTTCCACCACTTGAGGACTTCGACATATCACCGAGGCCGTGTGGCTCTTCTAGGCGATAGCGCACATGCGTCACTGCCATTTCAGGCAGCTGGCGCTGCTCAAGGCGTCGAGGACGCTCTGGTTCTTTCGAACATACTGTCAGAGCTTGTCAAATCATCGACACAAGAAGCAAATAGCGACGCAAGCATCGTTGCTGGTCTCAGCGCGTACGACGCAGTTCGGAGGCCACGCGCCCAGAAGCAACTGGAGCAGGCAGCCGAAGTTGCTCGTATGCTGTTCTTCCAACACGAAGAAGCAGGGGACGACATGAGCAAGATCTTGCCTCGCCTTCAGCAGGGTCGATTTGATTGGCTTTGGTTTCACGACGTGCAGGGTGACGTAGACGAAGCCTTGTCGAGAATGCAAAAGCCGGACTTGTCATGCGAACAAGTTGACCGGGCGTAGCCGCGTCAAACCCGCGTGTTCCGCGGTGCGACCCGCTAGCCCACAGTAAGTGCGGGGCAAGACAGATCGCGAACAGTTGGTAATGAGTTCGCTAGACTCTGCGACTAGAGATTACGCTTAAGGAGCATCTCCCGTTTCTGGTTACGAAATCGGTCAAATAACAGGCGCCTGAATTCACTGCCGACATTCTACTCCAACCCAAGCCAGCACTCGCCATTCTCGGTCAACCCACGGCCCTCCACAATATGCCAGACACTTCAGTGCCCTCTCGTCTGACGCAGCTGCCACTAGGCGACGAGGCGCCACGGTACAGCACTTCCGAACTACGCGACTACTTCCAGCGCATCCGTCTCCCCCAAAAATATCTGGACACACCCATACTCTCAGACAAAACACTAGCCACAAGCAAAGAACACGGCCTCCCATTCCTACAAGCTCTAACCCGACACCACACCAGCCACATCCCCTTCGAGAACCTCGAGCTCCATTACTCCACCCACAAAACCATCACACTCAACCCACAAGCCCTATACACCAAGATAGTAACCCAGCGCCGCGGCGGCCGCTGCATGGAAAACAACACCTTCTTCGCCACCGTGCTCCGCTCTCTGGGCTACGCCGTGCGCAACTGCGGCGGCCGTGTGTCGCGGGCCATGAGCCCTTACCCCGAGGTGCGTCGGCAGCAAGCGGCCACATACGATGGCTGGAACCACATGCTGAATCTAGTCGGATTCGATGATGGGGGCTGGTACGTCGCCGACGTTGGCATGGGGGCCATGGGACCCAATCTGGCGTATCCACTGCAAGACGGATTCGAAACGACGAGTATAGCGCCCCGGCTCATTCGCGTTCAGCGACGCGCTATTGCGGAGTCGTATGGAGACCACTCGAATGAATTGTGGTGTTATGACGTTTGCTATAATCCGAGGAGCGACGGGGGTGACGAGGGTGAGAGGAAATGGACGCCGGTGTATTGTTTTACGGAGACGGAGTTTTTGCCGCAGGATTACGAGATCATGTCGTGGTTTACGTCTACGAATCCGAGTTCTTTCTTCACGAAGTATGTGACTAGTACGAAGATGCTCATGGACGATGCGGGAGAGAGGATCGTGGGCAGTGTGACGCTTTTTGAAGGCGGGGTTAAACAGAGTATTGGGCTTGACCGCGAGATTGTACGAGATTGTGCGACGGAGGAGGAGCGTATTGCTGCTTTGAAAGAGATTTTCGATATAGACCTGACGGAAGAGCAGAGAAAGGGGATTCCAGTAGAGCTGAGACTGGGTTAGATTAGTCGATGCAATAGCTCTTCTCTTTCTATTAGCCTCTCTAGATTCTCTGCCGTCTCTTCATACCAAGTCGTCAGAGTACCTTCTTCGACATACCCCATGTGCGGTGTGAGTAAGACCCTGCTCTTGCCTTTGACATCCCAGTCTTCGCTCCGCCATGGGCTGTCGGCAGGAAGAGGCTCGATGTCAAACACGTCGAGCGCGGCGCCACGAATGCGCCCGTGTCGCAGTGTGTCCAGCAACGCAGCTTCGTCGACAAGCGGGCCTCGCGAAGTATTGATCAAGAGGCCGGTTGGTTTCATCCACCCCAGCTCCTGTGCGCCGACGATACCGCGTGAGCGTTCGCTGAGGACGTAGTGCAGACTTACTACGTCGGAAGATGTGAAGAGCTGTTCTTTCGTGACTACTTTGAATGTCTTCTCGTTCGCATCTGTCATGCCTCCGCCAGTCACAGGCAGCCCGCACTCTTCGGCGAGCTTGTCGACCTTCTCCTGTGTCAGGTTCGCACTCCAGCATACGACTTTCATACCGAAAGCGAGAACGCCAACTCTTGCTACATGCGCTCCGATCCTTCCTAGGCCGACCAAGCCCAATGTCTTCCCCTGCAACCCCATCGCGAGCTCCGTCTGCCATCCAGCCGGCACACCCTTGCCCTTAACAACAGCGTCGTCCGCGGCAACGTTCCGCGCAAGCCCCAGTATGAGCGCCCAAGCATGTTGTGTCGTTGGATGCCCACCCCCCTGTTGGACTGGCAGCGACCGTGGAGATGTACCAGTACCCTTCCCATCCGTCCTGCCCTTGCCAGGCGCAGCGCACACCGTAATACCCATATCCTTCATTGTATCCAGATCCCAACTCTGGAAGTTGCCGCCCGTCGCGAATATAACCTTGAGGTTCGGCAGTTGGCGGAGCAATTCGCCCGGAAACGGGGTGCGTTCGCGCATAGTGGAAAGCGCGGAGAAGGGCCTGAGGCGGTCGACGAGGGCTTTGCGGTCGGCATCTGATATTTTCGGGTGCGCGTACGACGGTAATGTGTCGGTGAATACGGTTGTCTCGACTTTTGAAGGGTCGATGTGGGCGAAGTGCTGGGTTGCTATGTTATGGTAGTCATCGAGGACGGCGAGCTTGATGGGGAGGGAGGCCATGGTGCGTCTAGACAAGTGTGGAGAAGAACGGTTCAATAGCTGGAAGTGACGGGATGGAGAGAGATGTTGGAGGAGCATGGCGCTGTGGTTATATGATGCATCACCGCGTACCGCAGGTAGCTATCTCGGCACTTGAATCGGAATGAACTGAGGGGTTCATTGGTGCAGGAGTCGATTTATACGGCTTACTGGGATTCAGCGGAAAAGCTCAACTAGAGCTGCTACTTTGCCGGCGACGCCGAATTATGTTGGTTTTCATTGCGCGGAGGGAATGCGCGGCTCTATTGTGGCGCGTAGACGACGGAAATGGTGTTGGATATTCGGATAACGCTGCGTGACGTGCCGTGCTAGCTTACTAAGCCGACCTCGGGAGGAGCTCGGCTTCGGCGCGCGGCTTCCTCGTCACTCCATCCTGCACCACCTCTTCAATGCGGCTTGACTCACTGCACCAGGACAACAACTCAATGACAACATTCAAAGATGCGATGGATCTATTCGAGGCCGAATTTCAGAAGGTGAGTTTTACATTGACATCTACTAGCACCACATCTGACTTTGCATAGGCCCTCTGTGGGAGCGTCACCGGCCAAGTTGGCGGGACTATGCGCACAATCCTAGAGACTGAGAACCTGTCGCCATATTACCGCTTGAAAGCTTGCATGGTTCTAAGCACGGCTGATGAGGAGAACGAACATGAAGAAAACTTGGCAGCAACGCGATATTGGCTTAAGAAGGCCACGGAAGCTTTAGAGGAAACGAAGCGCGTCTACATACACAACCCTGATGATGCAAAGTTGTTGCAGACCACAGCAGACACGATCGAGGAGGAGAATGAAGCTCTCCGAATGCGGGAAAAGGCCTTCTTTAGTGATGATGACAGCGATGAGACTGGATACTAGAGCGGTATTAGGGCGCAGGCGCGCGAGACGTACTTCAAGCTCCTAGGCGCAGGACCTTCGGATCCCGTCATAGGAAGCAACACTGAACCACGCGCTACTTCGGACCCAGAGACTACTCGTGATGATCCCCAGCTACTACTGCGAAGCACGCCACTGTTACTACGACGAGCTTGCACTTTACGCGGCATTGACATTTCACCAGCATATGAAGTATGCGCTTGACATGGGCGGCAAATGGTATAGCCACCATTTGCGCGATACTGCCATAGATCTTCACAGCTGTGTTCATTCAGTCAGTTAATTCCATTAACTTCATTCCAGGGGGCCGCCTGCTTCAAGATAAGTACACATCACCAGAGCTCATGCTCGTCAATGACAATGCATCACTACGTAACCTGGTGCACTAATTGCAACTGTGTTTCCTCATCTTCTGTTCTTTCTGCATACTACCGCAGCGCGGCATCAACATGAAACTCCTTGTCAGCGTACTGACCTTATCCCTGGGCACGCATGCTCTGGCTTTCGACTTCGCTCTAGCAGCTCCTATCAAACGCGGCGAGCGTGCGACACCTACAATAACTAAGACGATATATCATACGGAAGTGCGAAGACTATCTACAAGCTTCAAGGACCACCATGTTAGGAGCGAAAGCTTGGTGTCTGACTCCTCTGCATCTGTCGCTGATGTTGTCTTCGAGGCTATGAACGGGGACACCGCGTCATCCATGGCAGCAGCGTTCCTTTGGCCGAGGGGAGCAAGTGGACAGAAGCCTACGATTTCCCAGCCACCGGTTACTGGCCTACCTGTGATTTTCAACGCGAGGCAAGTCGGATTCGTACATTTCGACGATGACACCAAACGCGAAGAGGCTCTTCATTCCGGAGTGACAATCGTCAATAGGAGGATCACAGACCTCTACCATATCAAGATCGATCTCGCATCTGAAGGCTACATTTCAGTCTTCATGTCCAACAGTACAGCCTCTGCGTTCTGCAAAAGCGAGGTAGAGCTGGACTCGGAGGGTGGGCCAAAAGGAGAACTGCAGCTAGCTGTTCGGAATTCCACAAAGGTCGTGGGTATACCTCTTCACCAAGAAGCGGCTGATAGCTTCTGCCTACATTTTAAGGACGCGGAGGGTGTCGACAGTCCACCGAGTGGCAAAGCTTCTGGAAGCTTCACGGCAACAGCCTCGGCATCGGAAGGGAAGACGTCGAAGGTCACACCCAGTGAGACAACGTCGGAGAGTGTGTCGAAGTCATCCAAGCACGCGTCTACGGTAGTCACCGCTTCGGAGACTGACACTGATGACTCGGCTTCAGCAACATCCGCGACCTCGACCGACAAGAACACATCTTTGAACAACTTCGATATTACTCATGAGATAGAGACTTCGAAGTCCACAAAACGTGTACCGACAGAAACTACCCCCTCTGAGTCGGGATCTGCTACCACTGATGAAGGTACAGATATGACCGTGTCTAAGACCTCCAAAGCGGACGACAGCAGCAGTGGATCTGAGGCAACAAAGTCTTCAAAGCACAAGTCCACGTCTGTAACGGCTTCTGACAGTGACTTGGACACTTCGGAATCGGCAACCGACGTGTCCAGCAAGCACAAGACCAAATCTACAGCGAGCGGAGTTGACGAAGATTCGTCAAAAACGGTCGAAGCTTCAGGTACACCAACGGTGTCAAAGGCTGCGAACGCCGACCCTTCTGACACCGAAGAGAGCGCTTCACATTCGACCAAGGCAAATTCAAAGACTCCCGATGCTAATAAGACTGAGGAGATGCCCGAATCTGCAACATCGGTCCAGGAGTATCGAGGTCCAGCTGTAGACCCGGCAAACCCTGCTGACCTAGACACATCCACCACGCCCAAGGCCACACCCGCCGCTGTTCCTGTCAGCACAACTACGGACGAGCCGTTTACTGAAGCAAGCATAAACTCGTTTTACTCGTATATTAAGAGCTTTGTAGAGACTGCTCCAGATCTAGTCTCAGTTGCAGGTAGTACTGATCAGGCTTCGATAAAGACCACCGACTCTGCGAACGGGGCTTTGCGACGTGGAATACTAATAGCGCCAACGCCGGCTTTGATAGCTGCCAGGGCCGAAACTGATCGTCAATCGACGGATAACAGCATGACATATACTTCTGACTACAGCTGGAAGGGTGCCGTCTCTACTGCTTCAGCTTCCACTACGGCATCGAGTAATGCGGCGATCGGTAGACTGAAACCACCTTCTTTACTCTGGCGCATGTGGTACCCCGCGACTACCACCAAAATCATTCATTCGAGAAGCTTCAGTGGGCCTGGTGAAGAGCCTGAGCAGGAAGACGAGGGGTTTTTCAATATCGATGTAGAAGATGATGGGCCTACCAGGGTCATTGCTAGTACGAATGGAGTGGAAGAGGAGACGGCTGTTGCTACGAAGTTTGCGCATAAGCAGGAGGATAAAGATGGCGATGATGAAGGTATTGATGCGAAGGATGGAGACGAGGAAGAGGAAGAAGAGCTACTGGCTGATGGGGAGAGGGTACCTGACGAAGAAGCTGAGACTGATGAAGGAGCGGCTGGAGATGACGAGACGCCTACGTCTACGAAGAGCAAGGCGTCGCACACCAAGACTGCGGTAGATGAGGAAGATGACAGCACGCCAACCACCGCCACATCTGCGGACGTTGAGGAGAAGGTCCCATCCACCAAGACGAAACCTGCAGATGAGGATGATGACGCCGAGCCAACTCAAACTGCAGCCGATGACGACGAAGAGAAGGCGACATCCACCAAGACAAAACCGGTAGAAGATGACGATGAAACTACACCGACTTTCACTTCATTCAAAGATGTCGAGGAAAAGGCAACGTCTTCAAAGACAAAACATGTAGATGACGACGAGGAACCTGCCACGACTTCCAAATCTAAATCGAAATCCACCCACAAATCCAAAACCCCAATCCCCTCCCTCGCCTCAGGCGTATCGTTCGCTTTCCCCTCGAGCACGTCTCCAAACCCCAACCCAAACGCCGGAGCTATACCCACACCACCCCCAATCCCAACAGGTACAACCGCCCTCCCCATACGAACACAACCCATAATCTGGGACCCAGACTGTCCACATATCTCCACATCTACACTAACCGCACCCAACGGCGTCACTACAACCCTTCCAATGACTGTGGGACTGGGCTGTTGGCGCACGTTGCCACAGGCTGGGAATGCAGGGAATGGAGGGGATGGAGGGGATGGTGGGAATGGTGGGAATGAGACGAGTGGAGCAAACGGACATATGATCAAGAGTAAAGCGTGGAATATTCTGATTGATGGGCAGAATGTGAAGTTGGGGCTGGTGTGTTGGATGGTTGTTGGGGGGATCTTTTGGCAGTGAGTCACCCAGTGACCCTTGTACTCATCCTTCACCCCACTTCCCTTATCCCTCCCGCCTTCTTCTCCGTTCTCCTACGTAGTACTAACCTATTCTATCGCTGCTCAGGTGCTTTGTAGGCCAACTCCAGTTTGTGAGAGGTGAATGGCATTTCGGCCGGAAGTTCGCATGGTACATACTCAATTTGGAGATGTTGGGTATAGGGCGTCGGCTAGGAGAAAGAGTCGAGGAAGCGCAGAGGGTGTGGAAGAAAGCAGAGAGGGAAAGGGAGAGGGTTGAGCGGTTGGCGAGACTGGGTGGGTAGTATTGTATTTGAGTTGTTTGGTTATGAATGGGGAGAGGGTAGTTGGGCTGAGGGGATGGCTGTCGCTTGGAAACAGGAGACTTCATGGCGATAGTCTTTTAATGCGATGCGAGTTGTGTTATTCTATACGTATATACAAAGTCTACGACTGTAATTATTCTGTATCTGGGTATCATATGCAGGCTATCATCAGACTCCAAACACCACCCCTCTCCTCTCAGGCGAAATTGCCTTATCCTTTCCTTTCTTGTCAGCCAGCCCTTACACCAACTCTCCTACCCAGCCCTAATAGATGCAGTCGTTTGCTGCTCTACGTTCTCGGAAAGCAAAGCAACAAACGACTGCATTTATTAGGGCTGGGCAGCAGCGTTGGAAGCGACGTTGGCGGTTGCTTCTACTACCTTTGCCCTCTTCCCTCTTTCCTCATAGTCCAATATTCCACGACGTTCTACTACGCAGCCCGAGTAAACCCGCCAGTTCCCCTATACTCCCTCCGAAGTAGCGCGAAACTGCCAAGAGGAACATTCACTTCCAAACCTCCCGTTACTTCCGAGAATGTATAAAACGAAGGAGCGGATTTACTCAAGCTGAGCATGAGGGTTGGGTGAAGAAATGACCGATTGATGTAGTCTCCACCACCGCCCCTCCCTCAGTGGAGGGGCGGTGGTGAAGATCACATCTTCCGCTCCCTCTTCGTACCATTTTCCTGGATTCCGACCTGCAGGTTTGGATGATATCTACGCGATATAGTGGTGGAATCTCCTATGTAAGACAAGGCAAGTTTCCTCTAAGATGATCTGAGGTCACTCGTCTTGTCCCACATAGGAGGTGCTACCACCATATCGCGTACACCCCACCCAAGCATCTGAGCTCCGATTGACACGAGCTATTGACTCCGTCTCTTGCTTCCCCCACCGTACACCACCCACCTCTTCAAGTAAGCAAAATCCTCGCATCCTCATGCATAATCATAACCTCCTCATTCTCAAAACTATACTTCCGCCTCACAATTTCAAACACAATAAGCCCCGCCGCGGTACTGGGAACCTGCTTAATCGTGCTCATGAAGAAGTCTCTGTAGAGATACTTCCTCCACCCACCAGCCCTCTTCGCTAAAACTTTGCACTGGGCAAACGTTTCTTCGTAGGCGTGGTAGTAGCGGCGGACGATATGACTAGGCTTGTTGTCTTGGTGGGCCTGGAAATCCAGGGCTTCCAAACGCCGGTAATGGACGTCTTGGATTTCGGTCAAGGGGTGCTGGATGAGTTGGGAGGTGATGGATGCGGAGACGCCGGCGAGGAGGAGGAACATGGGTTCGAGCATGTAGTGGGGGCGGATAACGGGGCGGTCGTCGTGGTCTTCTTGGAGGTAGGGGATGGATTTCTCGAGGAGGGTGTCGCGCGTCCGACTTCCGTAGTAGCGGCTCACGAACTCGAGGTAAGCTTGGCTCTTCACTGTTTCAAAGGTGCCGAAGAAGACTGCGGCGCCGAAAGCATCTTTCATGAAAGAGAGAGACCAGCCGGCGAAGATGCCTTGGACGCCGATGGAGCGTAGTTTGTGCCCGGCATAGTGCCACATTGTTTTGTGGCGGCCTTCGAGGATGTCGGCGGTGCGGAAACGGGTTTGCAGGGCATCGAAGGGGGCGGCGATGACAGATTGGCATGAACCGCCGATGAAGCCTGCGGTGAAGGTAATGGAAGGGGGAGGGGGCGGGTAGACGCGTTTGGTCTGGTAGGAGGAGGGTTCGTGGAGGGCGGAGAGGGAGTGCAGGTAGGCTGTATAGAGGACGGCGCCGATACTATCACACTATTAGTATGAGCATGCTTGTGGGAGACACATCCCTTACCAAGTATTTGCCATCAGCGGTGGCAGCACTTGCTTCGGTATGAATCCCCATCCCTCAGTCCGTATAGCATGTGCCAATACGGCCGGCGTAGTCATCCTCCACGACCACTTCGCATCCGCCATGACATGTGGGTTTATCGCCCTCGCATAGCTCATGTAATCTATTCTCCCCCTGAAGAAAGCTTTGACTGGTGCTCGGAAGTAGAAGGCGACCATCCTCGCTGCCACGGCGCGCATACCAGCGGCCTGCACACCCGTCGCTGGTGCCTTGTTGGGGGCCTGCGGGGCGTCGGGCGTAGTCGTCGTGGTGTCATTGGCGGCATCGCTTCGGAGAGAGACTCCAGCGCGAGGACTGGAGCCGGTCGTCATCGCATAGTGTTGGTGGTTGGGGAGGTTTGCAGACGCATGGGTGGGGTGGTGAGGGTTTTGAGACGGATGAGGCAGCCGCGTGGGAGGGTCACAAGGTGGGAGTGACTTGGGCGTGATCAGAACGTGGGAGTCTATAACAACAAAAGATGACCAAAGTATGTACAAGAAGAAAACGTGACGTTGAAGTGTGTTGCCTAGAAAGATGTGGGGTTTATCAATGCCAGCTGTAGGGAACTTTGCTAGGTGAAGTTGGCGCTAGTATCGTTGTGGAGTTGAGAGGCGCACGGCCCCCCAGCGCGTACCTCGCGTCGCATCATCCTTTCGCGACTTTCTCATCGCTGCCTTCTCTCTTCCACCTTCTCCCTCGCAGCTACGCCAAACCGCCTGGAGGATATCTTCAGCGCATCCTCAACCATGGCGGAGAACGACATTGTCATCGACAAGGCGCTATTCCACGAGCGCCTCAACGCCCTCGTCACCAAATGGAAGGCCGACAAGCGCTCCGGCGACGCTGTATTCCAGGGCGCAAGCTCTATCGCGACTCTCGTGGGCAAGGCGAGTGAGCCAGGCATCTATTTGAAGCCCGCAGCGTTCCAGGTAAGATTGCGCATATCGACATGTGATGAACGGACAGTGAGCTGATGAGACCCCAGCTATGGCTGCTAGGCTACGAGTTTCCCGCGACGCTCTTCATCCTGACCCCCGATCTCCTCCAGATTGTCACAACCAAGAAGAAGGGTGAGTCTGCCAAGTTGAACCCAAAATGAGAATGGTTGCTAATTCGGATAGCTTCCTACCTTGAACCACTCAAAGGTGGCAAGGTGCCGGTTGAGATTCTCGTCCGCGGCAAGGACGCCGAAGAGAACAAGAAGCAGTTCCAGACATGTCTCGAGACGATGAAGAAGGCGGGCAAGAAGGTGGCGGTGCTGAAGAAGGACAACGCCAACAACGCCTTTGCGAACGAATGGAAGGCGGCCTTCGACGAGGCTGGCTTCAAGGAGGAGGACCAGGTCGATCTGGCCTCCATCATGTCCAACGCCGCCTTGTCCGTCAAGGATGAGAAGGAGCTGGTAAGTCTGACCTCACAACTCCGCACTGGCATTATTGACCTTTTAGCGAACCATCCGCGACGCCGCCCGCGCCTCGAGCGCCCTCATGTCCAACTACTTTGTCGAAGAAATGTCCGACATCCTCGATTCCGAGAAGAAAATCTCCCACCGCGCCCTCGCCGACAAGGTCTCCAACAAGATCGACGACGCCAAGTTCTTTGAGAAGCAGAAGCTTTCCAAGACATTCGACTCGATGCAGCTCGACTGGTGCCTCCAGCCTACGATTCAGAGTGGCGGCTCATACGACCTCAAGTTCGCGGCCGAACCCGACGAGAACAACCTGCACGCGGGCGTCATCATCTCCGTCCTCGGTCTGCGCTACCAGACATACGGCGCCATGATCGGCCGCACATTCATGGTCGGGCCCAACAAGGAGCAGGAGACTGCCTACAAGCTTCTTCTGGCGATTCACGACCTGGTCATCAAGTCGATCAAGGACGGCGTTGTGGCCAAGGACGTGTACAACAAGGCGCTCGCGCATCTCAAGTCGAAGAAGCCCGAGTGGGAGAAGCACTTCCCCAAGAACCTCGGTTACGGTATCGGTACCGAGAACAAGGACTCTTCGCTGCTCCTGAGCGGCAAGAACACTCGTGTCCTGAAGGACGGCATGACCTTGGTAGTTCAGACTGGTTTGTCAGACCTGGAGAACAGCAAGCCGCAAGACAAGAAGAGCAAGAACTACTCGCTCGTCTTGGTAGACACCGTCCGTGTCAGCGCCGGCGACTGCGCAGTCTTCACCAAGGACACCACCTCAGATCTGGACGCTGTCTCGTTCTTCTTCGACGACGAAGAGGAGGAGGCCAAGCCCAAGGTCAAGAAGGAGCGCCCAGCTATCGCCCAGACGAACATCACCAAGACCCGCACACGCCATGAGCGAACAACAAACCAAGACGCCGAGAAGGAGGAGCAACGGCGACAGCATCAAAGAGAGCTGCACGCCAAGAAGCAGGAGCAGGGTCTTGCCGAGTACAGCGAGGGCGCAAAGTCGCTGAACGGCACTGAAGAGAAGAAGTTTAAGAAATTCGAATCTTATAAGCGCGACAACCAGTTCCCCAGCTCAGTCGCCAACTTGGAGATCGTAGTCGA